TTTGCCTTATTGTCACCTTGAGAACTGTGTCTTAATTCCCCATGTGCAGGCCCCAGATAGGATCATTCCCTATTAGGTTTTTATCTGCCTCTGAGAAGCTGCTTACTCTCTGTGTTGGACCTCCCTTCACATTAACTTTCAATTGGAAGCATCTTTTCAAATGAAGATAATCTGGATTGCATTTGTCTCGAGGAAACTGTAATAACTCGGCAGTAGATGGAAATGTTTTGGACTGCAAAGAGTTTTGAAGGCTCTTTTCCCATTATCAGTCACTTGTGTGGGCAAGCGTTAAAGTTCAGATAACAAATGCCATGCCAACAACAAACACAACAGAGGCTCTCATGTGTTTCCCACAGCTTCCCACATATAAAGCAAGAATCCTGTTGTCCTGATTCCCAGAGGGGTAACTACTAGGGAAAAATGGAATACTGAAAAGAAAGAAACCACTAGGCCATGTCGAAAGGGAGAAAAGAAGTGCTAACTCTGTTTTCCTCAAAACAATACACATGATTGGTGAGGGTTGTCTGGGTTTTATTTGTTCTGAAGTAAGTTTCAAAACTTCTAGTCCTACCTCAATACCTGGGACAGTTCAGAGGCTGCTGACTACTGTCACAGCTCTGAATACAGAATCACAACAGGTCATCACTGGGACCAGGCACACCCAAGAGGAAGACAGGGCCTAACAACAAAAGCCGCACATAAAATTCAAACTGGATTTGTAAGTTACACCTATATGCCAGGCTTGGTGGTAGGTCAGGGGTCATCTGTTCAGCTCTTCTATGGATAGATGAGATTGTAAGCTAGAACAGCATTTGTCCAGCCAAGTTTTAAATATTTGGCATCTGCAACCATCTAACATTGCAAAGCTCTACATAGGAAACGAAGCAGCTTCTTGGTGAGTTGAGCATGAGTACTCTACCAGAGAAACAATGGGCTGCTTAACAGAAATGATGACATCCTGAGGAAGAGATGGTTACAAAGGAAAGACAGAAAGAATGCCTTTCCTCTTTGTGCACTTCATATAAGCCCCCGACAATCAGGAGATTGAAGCTTTTGAATGATCAATGATTTCACTTCAATGGCAGCATCATGAACTCTTCTAGACTGAGATATGTAGCACTGGGGTCGAATGAGACACCTTTCCACCTACACTGACTATAAGGACAGAAGAATGAGCCATGAAAGGACTTCTTAGTGATGTGCACAATTGCATATATTCTATCAGAAGGCTCCATAAAGCAAAAAACTGATGTAGATATGTATCAATTAAGTACCTCTTAGGAGATTATAAATTATTACAGCAGTAATCATACATATAGAACGGTTATTAAAAGTTGGGAACTTACTGTGTACAGATGTCTAACCTAATTTACATATATTGTAAACATAACTGCCTTGGACACTGGGTTTTCATTTAACACCAGATCATGTCTGTGCTTCTGTCTAGCAGAGGCCTTATTGCACAGAATGCTTTGAGATATTCTCTAGCAGTTGTAGTCATATGCCTCCCAAAGACTGAGGGATCCTCTCAAGTAAAGGACACTGAAGGACATTTAAAATGTGCCACTCATTCTGTTTGCACCTGAAGGTATTTCTAAATTTTATTTCTCTTAAATGGTATTAAAAATTAACTTTTCAGAGTTCTTACCCAGAGAAAATATTTTTTTTTTGGCTTGGTAAACACTTTCTTAGATCATGAATGCACCTGAAAATGCTCTAAAATATGCAAAGTACTTAAGCCGTGGTACAATTGAAGAATTGTACTTTTCAAAACCTGTGCAGCTATAAGCCCTGATCACTCACTCCAGGTAAGAGATCAAGAAGATAGCCTTTAAAGTGGGCTCCTCACTGGCTAAAAAGTAGCAGATTTTTCCAGACCTATTTTGATGCAAGAAGGTTATCTTCATTCCCAAAGTCACCACACACACACACACACACACACACACACACACACCAAATCTTATTAATTTTTCTTTAAGTAGCTTTGTCTAAGAGGTCACACACAGGTCAGTGGCAGGCCAGTAGAAATGGACTAGTAAAGTCCTCCAGAAGTCTCTAAGGAAATCTCATCTGCTCAGTTGAGTTAATGTCCACTTGTATTTTGGACATATGCCCAGAAGCTAGCAGGCAACAGAATCTTTCATATGTACTACAATTCCCTCCAAACAGAAAGCATAGAATAAAGGAGTGAGCTCCTTGGAGAACAAGGGTAACCATAACAATGCATTGCACTCAACCCTGTGTTCGATTTTGAAACATTTTTCTCATTTTCTATTATTAATCAAGGGTTTTTAGGTTTAATTTTAACCATTCTCTTTTCCTGTAACACTGTATGTAATAGAACCCTCCTTTGAGCTGGGGAATAGCTCCATGGTAACAGATTCTCAAACATCAGCACAGGATGGAGCTTTCAGTGTGTGATCACAGCTCAGGGAAGGAGGAGGAGGAAAACGATGAAACCCATGTAGGGTTTCTTTCTTTCCTTCCTTGGGATAACATCGTGAGAAAAAGAAATCAGCAACCTCATGAGGTTACTGAGAATAGGGAGGGAAGGCGGAGTCAAGTGACAGACCAAGCTTAACATGCTAATGAGAGAGTCATGGAATTTCAAGATCTAAAACAAACCCTTTACTTTAGTTCCCTAAAGAGATGAAAAATGCATTTTTGTATTCAATAGCTGAAAAGAGGTCTCTTTTCTGATGCCACACTTTCTAGTATATATATGGAAATGGAGTCACTTACGTGCTTACTCAGCAGTCATTGAGATCCACTCTAATCAAACAGTCCTGTCGTGGGTACAGTGCTACAATCCATGTGCACAGGGCTTTATAGGATAAATTTTGGTGAAAGTACATTATGGGTAAAATGAAGTATGTGTTCCTATCATGAATAGCAGGCTGTGCCATATATGCTGGGTACCAAAGTTCCGTCGGAAGACTACTAATCAGAAAGTGGTCCTCTCATTAATTTTCTAGCCATCAGTATTAATACAGACAAATACCCTGGTCTTAAAAAAATAAATTCCTATTGTTTCCCTGCCAAATTCAGCCAGATCTCATCTAATAGATGCTAACTGGACAGAAAACAATTTGGCAGTTTCTCACGGGAGTTTTTGTTTGAAGTACCACTTTAAACTCTCATCATTTCTACTGGAAAGAGAGGTCTTACTGCAACAAAACTTTAAAAATATAGTGCATTTCAAGTTCAGATAGCCTTTAGGTATATGGGTGCTTCTAAAGTGCTAAAGGATGTTTAATGCCATTTGTTCTTCCAATCGTGTTTGCACTATTAATTTGGTTAATGGGTTAGTAATCCTTTCTTTATAGATAGCACGAAAGTAAACTTCAGCCTAGCACTTTTCTAAATTATTACATCTTCTGAACAAATGGGGTGCAGATTAATGAGGTTTTACTCAGAGCTCTGGAGTCACAGGGGCCTTAAATGAAGTGATGCATCCTTTTTTCCATTTAATGAAAATAACAATCATGAAATGTAAATTGGACTCTAAAGCAGGACAATAGAACTGAATCCGTACCTAAGAGCAATGACATCACTTTCAAAGTACATCTCTGCACATGAGAAGGCTCTGGACCCATCCTTCCCCACTGACAATATGAGTTGCAACCACTTATAGAAGACCAAGAGGTCACCTAACTTACACCCCCTTCTTAGCTGCACCAAGTCTCATAGTATTACATAAATACACACAATCTTACTTCACACTAACAGCTGATTAAAGAGGGCTTCTCATTTTCAGATTTTTCAATCATTAATGACAGCATAAGAATATAAGATCCTTGTGGTGGTCTGAATAAGAATGGCCCTCAGAGACCCATATGCGTGAATACTTAGTTCTCAGTAGGTGGAAATGTTGGGGAGGAATTAGGAGGCGGGGCCTTGCTGGAGGAGGTGTGTCACTGCAGGTACGCTTTAAGCTTTCAGAAACCCCTGGCCTCGCCTTTTTTGCTTGCTTCCTTATGCTTGCACCTCAGTTATTCCTACCACCACGCCTTTGCTCTGCCATCATGGACTCAAAAACGCTAAAACTAAAGACAAAAATAAACTCTTTTCTAAGTTACTTTGGCAAAAGAAATGTAACTGTAATACAATTACAGCTGAAATACATAACTGATAATTGATTGCAATTGTAAATGTAATATAATCTTCCTCCAAATGCTACAAATGTCTATGTGGATTCATTCACTAAAAAATATGTGCTTGAGGTATTACAATTGCACAAAATATTTTCTACATCAGGACATGATGTTTGAGCATGTAAATTGGTGCTGGAATTTTCTGTATAAGAAACAATTTCATCTCTACAAAATTTGTTCTTTAAAAAAATTCTGGGAATCTTCTGGATCAACAAACATCTATTTTAGAATGATTACTGACAATGCAGCTCTTAAATACAATAATAGCAAAGTCACATATAGGAGACATGAGTGTGTCAATGAAAGAAACTTATGATCTTACAGGGAGGTCAGGGACATCTACTTTATCTTTGTTTTACTAAATTAATTAGGAAGACAGCGCTATTATCTGAATGTAATATCATTATTCTTGAAGGCACTCCTCATGAATCCATCAAGCTCAAAATAAACTTTCCTTTTACTTCTAATCTCCTAGTCAACCAAGATGTCATTAAAAATATTAAGAACTACTTAGTGTCTTGGGGGGTTTCTTGTATTGATCCAAGATGACAAAGAAAGAACTATTGAAAGTAGCATGATTTGTACCTTGAGCTCTAACATTAAGCCTTGAAGTTTTAACCTGAAAAGTAAATATATTCTGTTGGTCTTGGCACCACATTTTTAGCAATCTGAAAGGCATTAAATGTAGAATCTAGTATAAAACTATAGTACATAATACTTTATGTATTTGAAAAGAAAAACTACATATAAAAGTCAGTAGAACAAAGAGGAGTCATGTTTATTTCCTTGTATAAGATACTATATGCCGGGCCTGGCTAAGGGGAGGCGGGCGGGCGGGCGGGCGCGATGGCGGAGGCCGGGCCACAGGCGCCGCCGCCCCCCGGGCACTCCAAGCAGGCACGAGAAGAGTCTGGGACTTCTCACCACCAAGTTCGTGTCGCTTCTGCAGGAAGCCAAGGACGGTGTGCTTGACCTCAAGCTGGCAGCCGACACTCTAGCTGTGCGGCAGAAACGGCGGATTTACGACATCACCAACGTGTTGGAAGGTATTGGTCTGATCGAGAAAAAATCCAAGAACAGCATCCAGTGGAAGGGTGTGGGGCCAGGTTGCAATACCCGGGAGATTGCCGACAAGCTGATTGAGCTCAAGGCAGAGATCGAGGAGCTGCAGCAGCGGGAGCAAGAACTTGACCAGCACAAGGTGTGGGTGCAGCAGAGCATCCGGAATGTCACGGAGGACGTCCAGAACAGCTGTTTGGCCTACGTGACTCATGAGGACATCTGCAGGTGCTTTGCTGGAGACACCCTGCTTGCCATCCGGGCCCCATCGGGCACCAGTCTAGAGGTGCCCATCCCAGAGGGTCTCAATGGTCAAAAGAAGTACCAGATCCACTTAAAGAGCATGAGTGGTCCCATCGAGGTGCTGCTAGTGAACAAGGAGGCGTGGAGTTCACCACCTGTGGCTGTGCCTGTCCCTCCTCCTGAGGATCTGCTCCAGAGCCCACCTGCTGTTTCCACCCCTCCACCTCTGCCCAAGCCTGCCTTATCTCAACCCCAAGAAGCCTCTCGTCCATGCAGTCCCCAGCTAACTACCCCTGCTCCTGTCCTTGGCAGCCCTGAAGTCTCAGAGGTGGCAGGCCAGACAGCTGAGATTGCAGTGAGTGGTGGCCCTGGAACTGAAAACAAGGATGGTGGTGAGCTCAGCTCACTGCCACTGGGCCTGACAGCACTGGACACTCGGCCTCTGCAGTCTTCTGCCCTCCTGGACAGCAGCAGCAGCAGCAGCAGCAGTAGCAGCAGTAGCAGCAGCATTTCATCTGGACCCAACCCTTCTACCTCCTTTGAGCCCATCAAGGCAGACCCCACTGGTGTTCTGGATCTCCCCAAAGAGCTGTCAGAAATCTTCGATCCCACACGAGAGTGCATGAGCTCCGAGCTGCTGGAGGAATTGATGTCTTCAGAAGTGTTTGCCCCCCTTCTCCGACTGTCTCCACCCCCGGGAGACCACGATTACATCTACAACCTGGATGAGAGTGAAGGTGTCTGTGATCTCTTTGATGTTCCTGTTCTCAACCTCTGACCACAGGGACGTGTCCTGTGCAGCTGCAACCCAGACTGTCTGGATTAGGAGCCAACTAGGGACTGCCCCCAACCCCCACTCCCACCCCCAGCTTGAGAGCCCTGACTCTTGACTTACTTAGCCTTCCCCAGATGCTCAGTTCTGGCCATGCTACCCTGTCTTGCACTAGCACTTGTACTGTGCTAGCAGAGCAGGGGAGAGAGCTTAACCCTCTCCAATAGAACCCAAAGTGTTTGCCTTTCCTTTTCTGAAGCCTTCCCCAGCCAGGCTCAGCTGCCACCTAGTGGCACATCTGCCCTGCACTACCAGCCACTCTTCTCCTAAGGAGGGAGAGGGGGTGGGGCTGGGTAGTTGCCACCTGCTCACCCTGCAGCTTTGTGTCCTGAAACTCGGAGATGGCCAGGGTAGAGGGGGTTGATAAGAAGGAATTGTTATGTCTAGATAGGAATCTGGGTGGGCTGGTCCCTGAAGAGTGGCCCAACTTCCTGATACCCCATACCCACTCCCCTCACTTCCGTTTATTCACTTACCCTCATTTAGAGCCATTTGCAGAGATTTAGAAAGATTTACAGTAACGAATGGATTCCTATATAAAGATTATTTTTATACTTTTTTCAGCAAAAGGAAATTGTAATATTTGTACAGCATCCAAGTGAATAAAGACATGCCTAAGGCTAAAAAAAAAAAAAAAAAAAAAAAAAAAAAAAGATACTATATGCCAGCCGGGCATTGGTGGCACACGCCTTTAATCCCAGCACTCGGGAGGCAGAGGCAGGTGGATCTCTGTGAGTTCGAGGCCAGGCTGGACCGACAACCTCCAAAACAGAGAAACCCTGTCTCGTAAAACCAAAAAAAAAAAAAAAAAGATATTATATGCCTATAATGATTCAGGTAGCTAACGTTAATGGTGGCTACAGGTCTCTAATCATAAGCATTATCATGGGAAACTAAATAAAGTGGAAAGTTACAGAAAAGCAAACAAGATTACTAATGCAGTTTCAAATTTTCACAAGTTTTGTATGAGGAAAGGGGCAGTGGGGTAGTAAATGCTATGCTTCTCAATACATGTCAGGAAAATGATGCTAGTGTGGTAAAGCTATGGGTCAAAGGAAATGATCAGTATTTATTTTTGAAACCATTTTTATCATCTTTATTTTTTCTCAATAATGCTACTATCATCACTTTGTATTTAGTATTGTAAAGTCAGTACTGGTATGTTGCTCATATGGCCCTTTCTACATTTGATTTCTCAATCATTCTACACTTGATTTCTCAATCAAGACATGTAATGGTGGATGTTCTTCTGTATATATGTTTGTCTTATTGGTTTGTGAATAAAACACTGATTGGCCAGTAGTTAGGCAGGAAGCATAGGCGGGGCTAAGAGACAAGGAGAATTCTGGAGAGGGGACTCAGGGAGAGAGAGGTCTTGAGGGAGACGTCATGTAGCCGCTGAAAGAGTAACATGCTGGAGCCATCTCTGGTAAGATAAGGCCATGTAGAAATACATAGACTAAAAGTTGTGGATTAATAATTAAAAAGAGAGCTAGCCAGTAAGAAGCCTGAGCTATCAGTCAAGCAGTTTCTAATTAACATAAGCCTCAATGTGTTTATTTGGAACTGAAGGAGTGGGACTAGGCAGAACAGAACCTTTGTCGACACTTTGAAAATTAAGTTCTGGCTGTCATTTCTTGTAAGTACTTTCTATTTTATCCACAGAGTTCTGGCATAGCTGAAATTATTAAATTTATATAAAAGCATTGGGCTTAGTTCACATTTGAAATTTCTTTGATAGCTTAAAATGCTACTGTATTTTGTAATAGTTTAAGCATGCATTTTAGATATTGCATGCATGTTCTTTAGTTATATTTCTGGAGAATATTAACATTTTAAACTTTCTTTTCCAATTGTCTGATTTTAATCATTTTCCTTGACTATAATATTCAATGCTGGGTGATAAATCAATGTGGTAACATAAAATAACCTTATTTTATTCCTCATTTTAGAGGAAACATTCCTGATTTTTAAACCTCAGAATAATATTTAATACAAAATTCTGCTAGGTGATTCATTTAACTAGAGCAGAACCACCCTATTCTTAGCTGCTCTGGAAAATTAAACTATTAAACAGAGAATATATATTCTCAATCACATTTCATCATATAATGGGATGATAACATCATTTTCTCCTAATCCGTTAATCAATTAAGAATTTTAAGCTGTTATGATTTCAAGTATTACCTTCCCATAAATCTTCATATTTCCTCCTTTCCAGTTTTTCTTAATATATTATTAAATTTTGAGATGTTCATATAAGCACATAACATTTTTATCATATATATTCCCCGTTACTCCACTAATGCCTGCTATCTACCCTTCCCAACTTTGTGTCATCTTCTTCTTTTTATTCCTCTCTTTTCTGTTTTATTCCTCTCTTTACTGAATCCAATTTGTGCTGCTTATTTAATCACGAGTATGGGATCACCCACTGGGGGATGGTTGACCTACCAGGGTTCCTATCCTTAAAGAAAACTGATTCCTTCTTCCAGAAGCCATCAAGAGTCAATAAGTCCTCATCTAGGGATGAGGGCTCATGAGTTCCTCCCAGTTCGATAGTTAGCTTGATCTGTGCAGGTTTTTGTGTGCAGGCAACTACAGCTACTGTGAGTTTGAGTGCAGGGATCCTTTTATGTACAGAAGACAATTTCAGTCTGGTCCTCCCTGAACTCTGACCCTTAGAATCATTCTCTCTCCTCTTCTGAGATAGTCCATTTAGAAAAATAATAGTAGTAAGTTCACCCCTGGGGCCTAAGGATTCCATAACCCTGGGATCTTCAATAGGTTTATAGTACTAGGCATGGGTTCCCCACTATGATGTGGGCCTTAACTCCAACTAGAAAGTGGTTGGTTTTTTTTTAAATGCCTCTACTGTACCTATGGGCATATCTTGCTATGCTGATAATTATTATATCCTACAGTGTTCACAGCTGGGTAAGACAATTCATGACTTTGCCCCCTCCAATCACCTACACAGTACATTCAAGTACTATGAAAACTAGCCAGTATGCAGGAGCTTCAAAACTACTTAGAGATTTCATCTTCCCTTAGTCCAGAGTGACTAGTATTAAGGAAACAAAAGATAACAAGTGCTGGAGACAACATGGAGACTGGGGAACATACACAGTCTCTGGCCATACCTTTTCATTTTAGTGTTAAATATAAATGTAAGATATTCCTCAGTACATGCATTTACCTACATTTCTAAGAACAAAAAGCATTAGAGAAGTTTTCATATCTGTTTTCTCTGTTCTTACTATAAAGTCTGTGATAAACAATTATAGTCAAGGTAACACTACAAGGTAAGAGGCTTGGGAGATAGTTCAGTAGTAGGCTCTTACACAGCAAGCATGAGGGTCTGGGTTTGATTCTCTATACCAAGTGAAATAAAGAAAAAGGATCGTGAGAGAAAAGTAAAGTCAATGAGATGTCTGGCTCAGTGCAACATAGTTTTAGAAGAAGAGATTCCCTGTCTGTCATTTAATTTATTTGGGGTTTCAATTATACAGATCTCAAAACAGCTAAATGGAGAATTGGTCAACTAAGCCCAGAGTCTATATCTTCATGGCTCTAACTCACTATGAAGAAATGCCTAAAGAGAGTCCATCATTTGAGGATGAACTGGGACCCATCTGGCAGTCTTGATAGAACTAACTTTCTCCTCTGGGAAGAGATTTCAATGCAGGTTTGTCCAGGATAGCCTTTTTTGGGAGAAGAAGGCATTTCTATGAGGAAAGATCTCTTGCACCTTCACTATGAGGATGGCTGACTGTCAACAGTCATCACAGAACATGTTGTAAGTCATCTTTAGTGGTAAGCACTTCCATATACACTTTCTTCTCTAGCCTTCTAAACTCCAGGACATCTGATACTATCAGGCTCACTCTATGAACAAGCATGAGAGGCTTATTGAAGCCAAACAATTTACCCATAATATCCATGTTTATAAACAGAAGAGCCCACACTTCCAGTCAGGCATTGGTTTATGCTTGGAGTGTTATTCATTAGCAAGGAGGCAGAAATCACAGATCTCAGAGCATCAGGGCAAATATACTATAAATTTCCACATTATCTGATGCATCAAACTGGGGAAGAGGAGACCCAGCTTAATAAGAATGATATCTAATACCAAGGCAAAAAAAAATTATATCGAGAAGGGGGTAGGCAAAGGAGGAACAAAATAAGAGACCTAGGTGCCAGATCCAGAAGAAACCAATAGAAGGGTTCACAGATATTCCATGACACTCATACACAATCCCTTAGAGCATAGCAAAACTTAAAATAAGTTCCAGAAGGCAGTTATATGCATTATGGCCTCTTGCTACTGTGTGCTTTCATAGTATGACTTGGCTACAATTATTAATTAGGAGAATGCTGCCAGAAAAACTCATGTCACATCCTATGCACTTAACTTGCAAATGTTTTCCCCAGAAACAAAGCAGTAGTTGCACACAGTATACAATGTCATATCTAAAATTGTGTAATCACAGTACTGCCCATGGTAGCCAGTCATTTCATTCACAGATATCTGTTCACATTTCGGTCAGGAAAAGAGAGAGTAATGTCACTCTCCAATGGCCTCTTTTACATGTGGTTAACTTGCTGACATAAGTAAGCAGCTTTAAGCCAGGCGTCGGTAGTGGCATATGCCTTTAATCCTAGCACTTGGGAGGCAGAGGCAGGCGGATCTCTATGAGTTTGGGGTCAGCCTGGTCTACAAGAGCTAGTTCCAGGACAACCTTCAAAGCCAGAGAAACCCTGTCTCGAAAAACAAAACAAAAACAACAACAACAACAAAAAACAAAGTAAGCAGCTTTAACTCTTCCTTCTTCTTGTTGGCATAGAGCTGCTTCTAACTTTCCCTCCATATCACATTTGTTACAGGTCTAATGGGAAGTTGGCTTTAAAAAACAGATTGGTACTTTTTAGTAGGTTTTTGGTAGACGTCTGTTTGCAAGGGTGTATGAGTCTGAGTGCCTGAAGCCTGTTTTCCCACATGAACTCAGTTATTTTTAGTGTGTTGTTTTCTGGATCATGGGGCATCTTCAG